GTGCGGAACAACTAATGTGTTATACAACATATACAGTGATTTATCATTAAATAACTCTCTTACTTTATATAATATTGCAATTGATTTAGCTACTTTTATTCTTAAATTATCTATATGGGCTCTCCATGTCAACTTTTCATCTATGATAACACCCAGAAACTTTGCTTCACTGACTCTACAAATTTCAACATCACCGACTTTAAATTGAACATCAAGTTTTCTTTCTTTTGTTAAATATCATATATTTAGTTTTATCTAAATTTAATGATAGTTTTTGAGATGAAACCAAGTTTGTATTTTAACAAATTCTATCTGCATCATCCCCATCATTCGCTCTATGTCTTTACCCAAACAAAAACATGTTGTATCATCTGCAAACAGAATGCATTTCAAAAGTCCCGACACATTTACCAAGTCATTTACATACAAAATAAACAATTTTTGTCCAAGCACAGAACCTTGTGGAACTCCACGTGATGTTAAAAGGGTCAGATCTTACATCATTTACTTGTACAAACTGTTTCCTACCCTTCAAATAACTTGATACCCATTGTAGTGCTGGTCCTCTGATACCATATTGATTCAGCTTTCCAAGAAGAATGGTGTGGTCAGTTGCGTCAACTGTCTTCCTCAAATCAACACAAACACTAACACAGCATTGCTTTTGATCAACAGCAGTTATTTGCTCCATTAATTCAATTAGAGCCATTGATGTCGACCTATTTATCCTAAACCCATACTGAGTGTTACTTAAAAAATTTTGTTTATCAATAAATTGATGTTTACAAATAATTTCTCCAAAATCTTTGAAAACTGCGGCAACGGGGAGATTGGTCTATAGTTTGTGAACATGCATTTCTCACCATTCTTATAAATTTTGTATATGCATATCCTGTTTAACATAACCACTAAATATGCATCATTTACTCCCTAATGTCTACTGCATAATTTATAATAAGTGAAATCAGCAGAATCATGTTTTGTTGCAAACATTTACCAATTGTTCATTCCAACATTTTACAAGAACACTTGGATAGTTTTGGCACACAAGATATTCAGCCAAGAWTTTTTTTTTTATTTTGACAGCTATTGTGGTTTCTATTCATAATTTTTTATTACATATTGTTCCAAAYGTGCCAAATTTTTAATTCCAAAGTATCTTCCAGATTAAATCCTAAACACGGGGGCTGCTGCCATTGTGGTTACAAAATGAAATGAGGTGAGTACAAGAGTGGGCAACAAAATAATGTGCCTACAATGCAATTGTATCGGTGACAAACAGAAAGTGCTTTSTTTTTCTTCACAATTTTGGTCCAAACAGTCACAAGCCTGCATGATACTTTCAGAAATGTTAGCTTTTGTTTTGCCCCAGCAATTTTAAATCTGCCATGGGAATTTTATTAATGGCACTTTTTGGGTACATATTCTATTTTATGTTTTAAATATAAATATACTTGATGATTAGGGCAGGGCAAGATATTTAAAAAAATCTCAATATTGCAAACAATTCCAGTAACAGACTGCAATTCTCCTAAATCCACASAGATGGCACACGCAGTGCATCATGAAGACAGAACACGTGGGTTACAGTATTTATCAATATTTACCAAAACACTGCATGTTTTCCTGATATAAAACAGTCCAAATATGTCAATCCTCTTATGATAAAATGTTTCATGACCAGCTGAGCTTTAAACAAAAGGGGAATAAAAAAAACAACAGACTCTTTATTTTAAAAACAAATGTACCACCTTTATTATCCAACCAACACAACCCATTCAATTTGTAATAACAAAACCAAAGCAAATTATATAAACAGTGATCCTGGAACAAGAACWGTCCGTTTGGGACAAAAAGAAGAAGAAAAAAGAGAAGTATTTTAAGGAACTTTTTGCATTCAACACAGTAGTACAGTATATCATCGGCAAAGAAGGGAACTCGGTGTCCTGACAGAAAAAGTGATTTTTTTTMTGTGTTCTTAAAAATCTCTTCACTCAGAGATGTTACAATGATTCATACAACTGGATTTACATCTCAATATATAGAACATTTTGCTTCCAAAGTCCTGCTCATAAATACATGGACATTTTTTCTGAACAAAAGAGACTAAAACAAACTACAGTGAAAGGCCAGCTAATGTGACATTAGTGAACAGAAGATGACATGTTTATAAAGAGAAGGTGGTTCACATTACACAGCTTCTGGAGGAGGTTCAGTAAAAAAAATACTAAAACTGAAATTTGTTGGCTAATTTAAGGCAAATCTGGAACACAGTGTAGACCCTCTAAGATTTCCATATTCTACAACATCATGTTAATATTCATATGGGAGTCAAATGTAATGTGTTAGGATGGTAAAAGTGTTCACCATAGAAAATATTTATACTAAAAATAAGACGTGTGTTTGGTTTGTTCGTTAGTACATACCATCTCTCATTGGTCTCCATAGTTAATAATTAAAAAAAAGCATAGTTTGACAGAGATTATCCCATCCAGTTTAATCATCTACAAGAACAAGCAGGAATGAAGTAAAGATATTTAAAAAAAATACATAATGAAGCAGCTTTCAGTTAGGAGAAGTGCCAGTGGGCACTTACGGAATAAGTTGCTCCTTTGAGTTTTATCTCCGAGCAGCAACAGTTTGATGAAAGCACATTTTAAAGGGTGCAAAACTTAAAATACCAGGAATAGAAGTGATCTCAAGCTAAGCATCATTAGCTGCGTTTCCATTGAAAATGTGCYCAAAACTTTGTCGATATTCTGTTTATGTCGAAAAAACAGTTTCGCAACTGCGATGTTTCCATTAAGTAAGAAATGCTATTAAAGTCACGCATGAATACGTTTGTTCTCACGATAAGTCATTACAAACACGGCGGAGATGGATYTAAACACATAGCKTGTTGCTACCGCGACACTAGCACTCATCATCAGAGGAGACGTCGGCGTCTTTTATCGAGGTTTTCCAGCAACAAGTCCCTACTTGGGAGCGGCTACGTATGCTGTGGTTTTGGGAAATTGTAGTCGGTGACTTTACTATTTTATACTACTTCTGTGATTTTACTACTATTTCTACTTCCTGTTATCTACTTCGTCATTGTCTTTTTGGCCAGTATAAACAGCCGGTTGTTGATCACGTGACTCCCGTGATGCGAAAAAAGTGTTTCCATTGCAATTTTGCGAAAAACACCAATTTTGATACGGCCGAAATACCACCTCATCCTAGCGCAAAAAACTTTTGTCGAAAAATGAATTTTTTTTTCGAAATTGACGTGTTTCCATTGAGTAAATTTATTTTCGAAATTCTAATTTGCGCATTTTCATGGTCAATGGAAACGCAGCTACTGAGGTCTCAAGACAGCTGAGAGTGGAGTCTAGYTGAACCCAGGAAATTTTCTTTTAAACAGATTTAGCCATGCTTTGCAATCAATTAAATCCTTACTAAAACAAACAAAAAGAACGAATCTTAAATMATATAAAATTAAGTAGATATTTTTGGGATTTTCTTTTAAAGAACGAGTTTAACAGCAAAGCTTCACACAGAGAAAATTTGGTTGACTGATGTAATTTTTCGTCTCACCGTCTGTTTAACTATCTCTACTTTTCAATTTCAACACATTTTGGTACAAAACAAAAGTTCTTACAGGACAGATTCTTAAGGCTGGATTTAAAACACTGTTTACTAAACTGACAAGAAAAAACCAAATGATCTGAACAACACATCACAGCAGTTTTATTACCCTAGACAAATGTTGACATTAAAAGGGACGCTCCAACTACGTATGTTGAGGTGTGCTTCTGTGGAAAAGTTATGAGGACTTAATATCTTACCTGTTGTAGCTAGGTATTTGAACAACCTCAGTTTGAGTCTGAGGAGCTAATGGCTAGGGAGTGTTGAAACTACATGCAGACACTAACAATGCTTATGAAAAACCATGTAATTAAAAAAACAATGGGACTGAAAGGTCTATGAAACAGATTTTTGCATGAACAACAATGAAATTTTGAAATTGGAGCAATTGTAAGACAGCCGCAATCCACTTTGGTATTAGCCGTGTTCAGACTAGCTAGCTTGTCCAACTTTTATTTCTCTAAACAAAGGTTCTTACAAGAGTGTTATACAAAAGGTAAAGTATTATTTCTGTAGAACTTATCCACAGAACCCCACTTCAAAATGCCTGTATTTTTATTTTGCATATTGTTCTATTAAATCCTATTCTGTGTGGATCACCTTCCATTTGTATGATTGTTCTCTTAAGGATTACAAACAGCAACCAGTCAAGATTCAAAACTGTGTAAAAACAAACATTTCTTTTACATCAAAATAACTCAGAGGAAATTCATTTAAAGTTAAACCTGAAACAAATTTCATTGTCTGACTTGAGGAGATTTGGATGGTGTATTGCTTCACTTCTAATTGCTTCTAATGAAACTCAGTTTTCTACAAACAGTAAGGCCTGATGGCTCTGTGCTGACAGCAAAACTCAACACATGTTTTATTCCAAAGAACAAAGTATGTCCTCTGCTGGTCTGAGTAACTTGGAGGGAGTGCCTTTCAAAATACATAAAAGTATTACCACTGAGTCTTCTTAAATAATGTAAACATGTCCATCTTATCTGAGGTCAGCACAACGATCCTCTTCATACCTGTTTTATATATATATAAAGAAAAATTTGTTACTGGAGCATCGTCCGGATATTCTTCGGAGTGGATTCATCATTCAGGTGTTTTGTGGTGAACCTGAGGAGARGTGAATGAAGCAAAGTGGACTTTAGCAGAACTGAAATCAGTCTCATCAGCAGAAGTCATCATTTTAGGTTGTATTCACACCTGATAGTCCTCTGGACTGTTTGATTGGGGACCAAAATTGCAACATTTATTACATTTATTTGTACTTTGTCAAGCAAACTGAAACCTGTGAACAACCTGTTCACCTCCTCACTGGTTCTTGGGGGCACTGCACCAAGAACCACTGAAGTGACGTCAGATTTTAGCAGTTGAAGGATTTCTCTTTTGTCTTTGGCAAATGTAAAAAACAAATACTTTTCAACAATGGTTTCGACATAAGTGAAGATAAGGCAGAACAAGAGAGAATTTTATTTTTCATATAAAGTGGCTGAGACAGCTTCGTATGAGGCGGTGTGCACTGAGTAGGAGAGCATCCAACTTTGRAGCAGTGATGTTCACCTTATACAGACATTGAGCAAGGTATACGAGTAACTTTATTACTATTAATATTCAGAATGCCTTGGGCATTCCACTTCCTGCTTTTGGAGCAGTCTCCGGTCCGCTTGGCATTAACATATTTTGAACCGCACCAAAGTTCACTTCAATTAAGCAGATACTTAGATTTTTAGGTGGACCACAGTTTACTTTTTTATTTTTTTTTTATTTTTTGGTCTTTCTAGGCCTGGGGTCTTCAACCTTTTTTTTTCTTAAGAGCTACTTTCACAAAACGAAAATGTCCAAGAGCTACTTTTTGCGACATTTAATTTTGAACTTAAACTTAAACCACTGAAATAAGCTTGTTTTGCACACACAAAAAAACAACAACATGTAGACCACGTGGGAAGAAACCCCGTGCAATGACATACCGCAACAGGAGGGGTTTCCAAGAACTCTGCACAGTGTCTCTTAAGGGGCTATGAAAGGTGCGTGCGAAAATGAACGCAAAACAACCATACTGAGCCCTAAACTGTTTGATTGACAACCAAGGGGAAGGGACATTTATAGACTGATTGGAGTTAAATGAAAGTTTGTTTGGCCAGTGACAAATTAAATTGATGATCTGTTCTAATTTTTCATAAGCAATGAAGAGCTACTTTAAATGAGCTAACGAGCTACTGGTTGGAGACCCCTGTTCTAGGCAAACAAGCTAGGGTTTGATTAAAGTAGACTAAACAGGGCTGGTGGCTTTAAAAAAAAAAGCTAAGGAGTCATTTTCAAAAAGCAAGAAAAAACTTGCTTACTTGAGCGCATTCAAGAGGCCCTCAACCTTTTCGGCTGGCTGGTCCTTCAATACTTTAATGCAGCCTTTCATCTGAAACAAACAAGTGAGAGTGGAAGTAATAAACATCTGGATCACAGAACAACTGAGTTTTCTTTGTAGAATTTCAGGAGCAAATGATCTATTTACATCTATTTTAGAGGACTTGTTAAAAGCACCATTGGGGTGGACGTGGTCATAAAGAATGATGACGCCAACCATCACCCTCATGCAGAATAGGAGTGTGTCCTCGCTGCTGAAGCGACTGGAATATTCCCTTAAACACAAAAAAAAGAGACCATAATCAGAAAGAAAGATCTGGATCCAAAACTGTAAGAACTTTACCAGTTATGTATTGGATAAATCTTGTAAGCAGGAACTGAATTTGAATTGCTCAGATTGAATCTGAATGTGCAAAATTTAAAATTGAATGCACTGGTTTGAAAATGAATTTCACTAAATTGAAACTGAATTTAATGGTTTGTATCTTGAATTATTCTTCATTTCTGCTGCTATAGACTTAGACTGCTGGAGCACAAACTGAGCACATTTCCTCACTTTGCTGTTGTCTTTAGTTTCTCCTCTATATGTTTATTAGGGGTCCAAGCCCGAGGAAGCAGGGTAACGCAGCTGCAAAGCAGCAGCGTTTCCATGTCTCCATCGGAGCATGGAACCCTATTGTATCTGTTCCGTTTTTTATTATTATTATTATTATTAGGGGTCCAAGCCCGAGGAAGCAGGGTAACGCAGCTGCAAAGCAGCAGCGTTTCCATGTCTCCATCGGAGCATGGAACCCTATTGTATCTGTTCCGTTTTTTATTATTATTATTATTATTAGGGGTATTATTATTATTATTTTTCTGA